TTGGCACAAATTCTATGCACGCATAAAGTAATATAACAAGTTGATATATAAGTTTTTAGCATAAGTGCATGACTATATATTTTAATCGTAGCTTCGGATCAATTGCGGTAATGCATTCTCACCTTAGTTTGCATACAAGTCCACACTAACAGACCATTGAAGACAATGTTTTATAATAAATATTGGTTAAATTATTACGTAAACTTATTATTGCGGATAATGTAAAGTTTATATACTTTACATTTGTATAATGAAATAATAAAATTATAAATATCGTATAAATTTACGGTAAATTATAATAAATTATTTACAAAGTATAAGATTGTCAATGCGTTCATAACATAAAACTTTATTCACATTTGAAATATGATTGACAGCATTGTTGTCGTCACAACTTATTTCCAAATCTTCAGTTCATACATAAAGATCAATCTCTTTGTGTGATTTTATGCCTACTTTTATTAACTTTTATACGAAATATTCTTTGATAAGAATATAATTGTCATTACAAATGTGTAATGTATTGACAAAACAGACAATTTGGAATAATCACAATTGTTTGCATATTTGATGATATTTTTTCTTGGTAGTTTACTTAATAACACAGTATGTCATACAATACACATAATAATTTATATTAGTAATACTCAATCGAATAGTAATTTAACATATTTAAATAATTATATTAACACTTAGCAAATTTAATATGTTTTTTAAATTATTCAAAATTAGAGTTAATTTATATACAGTATTAAATTATTGTGTCATTAATTTGTCTAGAATTGAAATAGGAAATGGGGAAAATCTCGTATACTTTAAGAACATGATAAATTTCCTACCCTATTGTTTTGGTAATTGTTAACAAATACGTTTGATGCAAATAGTCAACCTATGAACATGATAAAATGTACCCGATGTTTCAGTTTGGAATTGGTAAGTAGCAGAAGTTACACCTCTGTTATCATTTAGTGTATAATTTGTTAATATATTAAAATTATATTTTAAAATAGTTTTTAATATTTCCTTTAAAGTTTAGGATAAATCTCATCTCAAGTGTGAATTATTAACAAAAATAAATAAATAGAATATTTGTTAAAATATGTTAAAAATGTCAATCAAATAGTATTTTGTATTTAAATGCAAGCATACGTTTTTGGGAACAATTTATTGCTTAAAGCTCTATATTATTTCATTGTATTAACAACCGAATAAAAAATTATTTATTTCAATTGAAGTGGGTAATTCAATTGGCGTCACTAGTGATCTGCCATTATTAATATAAAGTTGTCATTTTATAAATTTATAAATTTTTATTACTTCAAATTTATTATTTGAATTTTCTGCTAATAAGTACCATAAAATTGAAAATTAATATTTCTTCATAATTATCATGTGAAGAAATATAACTTATTTAACTAAATATCAGTTATACATTACATCAATATATAAAACTATTCTTATATGCAATAAAAACAAAAATCATTTAATTATTTTTATAAAATATAGGGACAAAAATTTTTATAATAATTATGAACATTGAACCACAATTATTTAATTAAATATAATGACTCTAACAATTATTCTACACCTTTACAAGAAATTATAAAATAATAATTTTAATTATATAGTTACAAAATCATTTTTGCATAATTAAGAATATTTTTCCATTATTTTTATCCAATTTTATTAATTATTCCAGTGATTTATATTTATAAATAGCAATAAATGGCAGATTATTTAATGTTGAGGTATTCCTTGCCTTTAAATTAGCGTTAATAGAAAATTGAGCTAAAAATCTATCAAAAAGAGTTTATATAAATATACGAATAGTTGTGTTTCATTTAATTTATTATATTTAGTATAACGGTAATACATAATTGTCATCATGCTAATATTTCTGTAAGTAATTCAGTCTTTTCCATATTTTCGTGTTCCATATAATTGTTCACAAATACGGTATTCAATGCATACAAGTCTTGCAAACAATTCATTAATCGTGTGAACCGTATCTCTGCCTCTGTTTTTGAGTTGTGTTTTAACTCTAAATACCGTTGAAGTAAATACACGAATGTCTGCCTTTGAAGTCTGTAATGCAAACATTGTTTAAATAATTAATAGATATAATTTTCAAACATATAATTTTGTTGAATGATCATTTACTTAATTAAGTCCTTTTGTCTCAAATTAGGCCGATTGTGATTAAATAATACAATTGCTGTCAACTGTGATAACCAAGTAGATTTTAACTCTTTAAGTTATTATAACTTTTTACTATTTATGAATAATTACCAAATCCATAATATTGATGTCTTTATTATACTCTTGGTTAAGTTTCCACATAAAACACTTGTGAACATCATAAAGATTCCTAACGCCATACTTCAATATACCTAGATGTAAAATTGATGCATATTCCGAGCCCTAAACAAAACTACATAATTAAAACAAACAAAACAATTTCAAAATTACATTAACACTAATTACAGTATAAACGGTCCAGAATTCGCCCTCGAAATTAAACGACAAAATATTCAATAAGGTTATAATCTCTTGCGAACCAGATTTCAACAAGGTAATTTTGTCACTTTCGCACAGCTCTCTGAATTCATTGATTGTTTTAGACATCTTAATAATACGCCTGCAATGCATTTCTGTCCGCATTTGAAGCACTCGTAATACTTCGGGTTCTGTCGACGGCTCCACCACTAAATTCACGACCGGATCTCTTAGCCAAGTGGTCGAGTAAAACAATTGCTTCAATCGATGCCTTTCCGTGTCATTGAATGTAAATATAAGGCCCCGTATGTAAGCCGGCATCTGATTGTCTGCGCTTTTATCGGTGCCGTCCTTTTGGTGTAAACACATTGCAGTCGTCGCCGGACTGTCAGTCGAGACCTGAGTATTAGTGTTTCCATTGTCTGTTATCTGACTGTATTTGGCTATCATTTCCATCTCTCTTTTTGAGTGACATAATCTCTGTTTGGGAAATCAATGATAAGATATTAGTTATTTGTATAATACAAATGGTTTTTATAGCCATTTTAAAATATTAATAACTGCACTGATTTTATATTTTTTATTTATTTTCATTGTAATTAATAATTACTAAACAAGGGTTTGAAAAGTCGCTCACTTTCTTCATTCCGGTGGCAAAGCATTTATCAATTCTACACTTTTTACAGAATTTTCGCGTCAATTGATTGACAACACATTTATTGCCAAAATAGCAAAATATTTCCTAAAAATATATCCAAAATTACAATACATTCATAAAATGATAAAAATATAATTAATAATTGACTAAAACCTCAGTTCTGTTGGCATTTCTACGAAAGAATGTGCGACAGGACTCACACGTAAGGGCACTGAAATTATAACCTAAATAATGAATTTATTGTTATTTATTATTACAAATACAAAAATATTTGTTTTAAATAAATTTTACAACAATTAACACATTAAAACATATCTCAATTTTATACCTAATGCTTTATCCCCACAGACAGCGCATATTTTATCACTCATTTTTGTAATATTTTTAAACAATTTACAAAATATTTTTAATTAACATTAATAATTTATAATATTATAAATTTTAATTCACAACAAATCAAACAAGATACAAATGATTATACAATTAATTAATAGATGGTGTTTTAAGTAAAATAAACTCAAACAATTATTGTATCACAAACTAGAATTAAGTTTACTTATAGTAAAATTCAGTTAAATATACACCAAATATTCACACCATGTTATACAATATGTTTTGGGTGCAAATAATTCATTGCCATTCGCTGTACTTAATATATTAACAAATAGTTTCCTCATAAGCAACAAGTGTTTTATAAAAACTTACTATTAATACACGTATTCTTATTGTTGTACAAACTTGTATTGGTTGGGGTCATAGAGCCGGTGCACTCGTCCACACTATCCACTGCCATAATGGCAGACCAATAGCCTCAGACTATTTCGGGCCCATTCAACAATTCACCATTGTTAATTTTTATCAATAGAAAATAAGCATAATAATTGAATTTTTAGTTAATTCAACCATATTTGTTTATAATGCATAATTGTATTAAATGTATTGATTGATTAATTGAGAGTGATTTTAGAATGTACGTTTTAATTTTATTAGTCACCATCATCGATTTAAACTAATATAGTAATTACTAATAATAGAAGTAATAATTAATTTTAATCATTAGGTCTTAAGATTTTTTCAGTACTTTTAAAAATTAACTTTATATTTTTGTTTGTATAGGAACTTGAAATGTTGAAAATATTATGATTTAATTATCATAATTGGTGTAAATCTAGATTATTAATAGTTTAAAAAAATTAATTTTTTCTAAAATTGTCAGCAATGTTTCAGGTCTTCTAAAGGCATAAAATTTTGTCATTAAGTTGTGTAATAACTTATTTCATGTAAATTTAGTAAATTCAAGAACAGTTAGCAAAAGAATTTTCACCACGTATTATTAGCATAAAGTCTTTTGTGATAAATCTGTGGGAAATTTATATGTATTTTGGGAAAAACGAGGTACTTTCTCAACCCTAACATTAAATGGGATTTTAATAATTATTATATAATGTATTTTTAATTCAATGCAAAATAGCATTACAACAATAATCAAAGGAGTTCATTAAAATATGTGCCTAATACAAATTTTACAAAAGTATTAAAATACATAGCATATACAACACAACAGTATACAGTACTTGTCATATCCCAGGGCATATCAATTAGAGTCTATTTATAGATTTTATCGTAGCTTTCAATACAATACCAATAAATTTCTGGGAAATATTTAACTCAATAGTGAATAGATTGACGAAAGAAATTGAAAAAGAGATAATTGTTTGAATGTCAATCAAATTATCGCTGTATTTAACAAAATCAATGTTTGTTAGACTTAGGGAACAATCTATTGACAAAAAAGTTAAATTATTAATTACAAGAACTTTTTAATTAAATTGTTAAAAATATTCTATAATAATTCTATGATGATTACAATATTTTATACTCATATTCACAGTGAAATAAAATTAATAAATTTAACT